CCGCCCCTCCGCCCACCCCGGCGCCAGCGAGCCTTCCACCTCCGGCCTCCCGCAGCGTGTGCGGCGGTTGCTGGGCGCAGGGGAGGCTCGCGGCGGCGGGGCGCTAAAGGAGTTGTAGGTACGGTCCATTTTCCTCCACTCTCTTCCTTTCCAGGCCCTTGGCTTTTTCAAGGAGCATTATAAAGACTGCTGTAGCCAGGACATAGAGATGGTGGCAGCCCTGCCCCGCCTTGATTTGTGGCCCCGGGACAGATGGAGGGCAGCCAGCATAAACCCACCATGGGACTGAGCGAGGTGAGGAGAGAGTAACCAGGTTTCCCACGCGGAGCGGAGGGGCTAGGAAATAGGGCTGTGGGAACTCCCTGCTCCACCAGGGACGCCAGCAGCCAGGTCTCAACCCGGCCCTGGGACCCGGAGGGGACAGAGGCGGATGGGAAACAGCGCTGCCCCGGAGCGAGGTCAGGGCTGGGACAGGCATGGACCCTGAGTTTCCATCCCCACCACGGCTCCACCCCCTACCCTCAAAGCTTCACCGCCTCCATTAGCCTTGGCTGTGCCCCCGCCTGTCTTCTGCCAGACTGCGCCTCAGTGTTCCCATCCGGAGCATGGGTGACCTCTCTGGCTGGTTCCCTGACAGCCAGACCCCGGGCCCACCCTGCCGCCTTCCAGGGCTGCCACCAGTGGCTGTTTACGCCAAGGTGCACCTAGCGGAGCCTTCAGACAGGGGGCTGGGGCAGGGACCGTGCCCATCTCCATCAACTTAGTGTTGGTGGCAGCCCCAGGGGCTCCGAGGCTTCTGCGGGAGAGCGAGGCAGGGCAGCTGCTCTTCCCACCTCTAGTCCTCTTTCCGCGAGGCCCCAGCTCCCCCTGGGCCTGTCTCTCGTCTTCCCTTTACCTTGTCGTTTGCACGCAGCGACCTGGGACAGCTCACAAACCCGGCCCCTGAATCCCAGCGTGGGTGCTGTTTATTCGGATACCCTCTCCCATCGTCTTCCTGCTGAGTCTTCAGGGCCCGCTTCAGTTATCACCACTTCCTCCAGGAAGCAGGCCCTGATTTAGCCCACAATTGACTGCTTTCTGATGAGGGCTCCCACGTTGGGGTAGGAGCCCTCTTATGAGAGCGCGGACCTCAGCTGGCCTGTATCAGTTTCCTCTGCATGTGAGCATCCTCCTCTTGTGCTAAATCCTTACCGACTGAACCAACCCGTGGGCTGCGCTGGGCAGTGCGGAGAGCGCGGGCTCGTTGTCAGGGACATGGGCTCGAGTTCTGACAATGCCACAAACGTGCTGTGTGACGTTGGACCCCGCCCTTCCCCTCTCTGGGCCTCAGTTCCTAAACCTGTACAGGAAACAGATGCTCCGAGGCCCCCAGAGTGCCTTCCTGCTCAGACACTCAGGGTATAGAGTGCCCTCTGCACCAACTGTGGGCAGCAAAGACTTAATCAGAGGAGCTCATCTTTGTTGCTACTGTGTCTACCAACGATTTTTACAGAGTGTGTAAGGGAGGAGGAGAGAGAGGGAGAGAGATAGAAACATCCATGAAAGACACATCCATCATTTGCCTCCCACACAAGCCCTAACCAGGGCCAGGGATCCAGCCTGCAACCAAGGTACGTGCCCTTGACTGAATTGAATTGCGCCTGTGGCTTTCAGTTTGAGGGCCAACGCTCTAACCTCTGAGCACCCGGCCAGGGCGAGAGGACATTTTTTAAAATATATATATTTTATTGATTTTTTTACAGAGAGGAAGGAAGAGGCATAGAGAGGTAGAAACATCAATGAGAGAGAAACATTAATCAGCTGCCTCCTGCACACCTCCTACTGGGGATGTGCCTGCAAACCAAGGTACATGCCCTTGACCGGAATCGGACCTGGGACCTTTCAGTCCGCAGGCCGATGCTCTATCCATTGAGTCAAACCGGTTAGGGCGAGAGGACATTTTTAAAGCCCTATATCCAGTTCCCCAGCTTTTCCTGACATTCATTAATAAGTATATGTTAAATGTCTATTATGTGTCGATGATGTACAGTGTCTAAGGGCATGTAGTATATATTGAAACACAACTGAATTTATATTCCAGTTCTGTCACTTTCAATGGAAGGAAAAAAGTTTTAGTCTCACTTAGAGTAATTTATACTGCTTCCATATGCATTATGGTTTTTGAGGAAAATATCAATTATTTTGTGTCCGGTTGTTAATGCTACTGTTAAATTTAATTGATATTTCTAAAATCTAGGGAGGTGTGGGTATGAAGAATGATTTTAGACTATTTAGCTAAGTGAAGCATCCAAATTTAGAGGACTAAGAACTGTCCATAAATTTTTGCTGAATGACATGTGGTGGAGTCACTAGATGTCACTATTGCACAACTTTGCTACAAAAGGATAACCTCTAAAATTTAGAGGTTAAATACAGTATACAGTTACAGAACACACAGCAGGGAAAGACAAGAACTGTTTCTATTAAGGGGTATACATTTGTACCTACATAATATTTATATAAGAAATGAAGTTCCCAAGCAGTGTGTTTTGATATTATCTCACCCTGTTTCTTCAGTAGGTCTATCAGAGAATGGAAGCATTGATAAAATCAATAAAGGCCTTAGATCATCTGGCATCTTCTCTCCCTACACCACTGTATAGGTTTGGAATTAAGATTTAGGGAGGTGAAGTGACAAGAAATTTACTCAACATTAATAGCAAATTAAAAGCAGAGTTTGCCCAACTCTTTTTATAATAGCACACCATCCCTTATTAATATATGCAATCAAAGAGACACTCTAATAAAACAAGGTGAAAATAGAACCTCTAAATCCATCAGAATTTTTCACAACTTTAAAAGCAAAGCTTACAGCCCTAGCTGGTTTGGCTCAGTGGATAGAGTGTTGGCCTGCGGACTGAAGGATCCTAGGTTCGATTCCAGTCGAGGGCACGTGCCTGAGTTGGGGGCTCAATCCCCAGTAGGGGGCGTGCAGGAGGCAGCCAATCAATGATTCTCTCATCATTGACATTTCTACCTCTCTCTCCTCTCCTTTCCTCTCTCTGAAATCAATAAAAATGTATTTTCAAGAAGATAAAAGCAAAGCTTACATATGATGATAATGGTGCATACTTATAATAAAAATTATTAGTTGAATACCATGGCTTTTGCTATGATCTATATAAAAATCTCACTTTATTCCCATAACTGCAAGATTCCACAATTCCAAAAAGGATTTTAAGAAGATTACTAAAATAAATATAGCATAAAAATTTTAAAAACTGATGCAATCATAAATGTAAGATACTGGAATATAAACCACTATGAAGTCTTTTTTTAGTATACAAAATCATGCCACAATTTCCAGTAAATTTAGATTTGGTTAGCTATTTTAAAATTTGATTCTGCTTTCTCTAGCTGTGAGCACAAAGTAAGAAAAATGGATGGTACTATGCCCATTAAAAGATAATGAAATATTATAACTTACCAAGATCTTACAACTAGCTTATTTATGATTTTAAAGCCTTCATTCTTTTCATTATGCTAGCTATCCAGACATCTGATAAGAGGGCTCCTTACGATATAGTCACTGTAACCCTTAAATACCTGGATCACTACAATTATCCCTAAATTTCACAGGTAGGCTTTTGTTTTCAAATAATTTCACAGAGCTATTGATAAGATGTGTTCCTATCAAGAAATTGGGTCCTTAAAATGAGTTATTAAGAGAAAGATAAATTTTGAATTTAATCTTCATTTTAAATTTTTAAATTGATATTATAAAAATAGGCATTTTAAAAATTAAATAAGAGAGAAAGAGGTGTCCAGGGGAAGAAGTTCAAAGAAAAAATAGAGATGAGGAGATCTCTAGAGTGAAGAAGAAAGCAGCCAGGCACAGTATTAAAAAAGAGGGAAGGGACCATGGGGAGAGAGTTACAGCCTTGCCTGCTTCTGATCCCTATTACTCAAGTATCTGTTTTTTTCTTCTTCACCTTCCTCCAAAATTGTACCCAAAAACCTATCCTAGTCAAGGTCCTCGCTCTTCAAAACTTCTACTTTTCAAATATTTATTCTGTAGGAGTAGAACCTTTTTTTTCGTTAAACTGTTGATTCTTTATATGTTTCTGCAGCATAATTATGAAGGATATTACTCATTCTAGAATTTGTTTCCTTTTTCTTAATGTATTTGAAAACCCTATTTTTGATGTTAGAATCTCTTACTCTCCTATGAAAGATGCCTTTCTTGTTAAACAAGCAGAATGTTTTTGCTTTTGTTGTCATTTTGAGTGGTATTTTTTTTTTCAGTTCATTCAGGTTTATTTCACAAATATTTATTAAGTGCCTGCATGTCCTACCTACTATGTAGATCAAGAATAAAACCAGATATGATTTCTCCTCTGATGAATTCCAATTCCATCCAAGATGAAATAGTCTTACTACAACCTTTTGTCTACTGCTCACGACCAAAAACTATGGATAAAATGCAAAGAGCAACTACCAGAAGTCTCAAAAGTAAACAAAAGCAGATAGATTGTGAAGAGGGGTCAAAACTACAGGTGTGAAATCCTCCTGTGCTTGCATTTTTGACTTGAAGGCAGGTCCCTATCATGCCACCGTTTAAGGACAGCACAGAAGGCAAAAACTACAACAGGAAACCCATTTGTATGGCCTAAAAGTCTTGGGGAGTAGATCCTGTGTTCCAAAGAAAGTCTGAGGAGGCATTGTTTTGCAGCTTTTCCCCAGGAGCAAACCCTATACATGGCATATGGCAGCTAAAACTCAGAGAAAAACCCCATCTGACCAGAGAAACCAAGAAAAGAGCCCTTGAGAAACATAGCGTGTGGTGGGTGGAGGTATAGATCCAGGAGAGGAGGAAGCTGGAGAAAGAGGCTCCTTAATTCTGTGTATGAACCTAACCAAGTGTCTTGGTCCCTCCAGCTATGCATACATGCCCAGCCAACCAATGGGGGCCAAGGCACGCTCTGCACATGCCCAGCCAACCAATGGGGGCCGAGGTGCGCTCTGCGCATGCCTAGCCAACCAACTTCCAGAACTTTCCGGGTAAAAGCAGCAGACGCTGCTTGCGCACTTCCTCGCTCTCTGGCCGCTGCTGGTGTCCCTGCCGCCTGCGCTGATCCCTCCGGGAGAAGCCCATCTTGGGAAAGGTAGTGGCTGTACCCCTGGGGGTCTCCTCATGTCCCCTGCCGGCCCCACAGCCTCCCACCCCGGGACGCCGAGCTTCCCTGGGGAACGCCGGGAGCGGGG